ATACCTCATCCATCTGCCATTAGATCTGAATCCTATGGAAGGAAATGGATTCCTTTGCGGACCTCTATATTCAGGCCATCTCTCCTCCAACATAAGCCAACAGCGCGCCAGACATACCCCGGAATAACAGGCTGTTATGCCGTTGCAGATTAGTATTGCCAGTCCGTACCACCCTTTTTGAAATATATTAAATGATACAAAAGTTTTATTTAGTTTATAACCATCTTTTAAATTATAATTAAAAATATATTAATATTATTTCACATTATGAGCAGTGGTAAATTTGTATAAATATATTTTGAAACAAGACTAACTGTCTACTGTATAGTAGTAATTAATATAAAGTATTTATACCGGTGTTGGCCATAGCACTGGGAAAGGCCAATATACCACTACCGGCCAATTCACCCGCAATAAACACAACGGCTGTCAGTATTGTGAGACCCTTTTTGGGTTCATTAGTCTTACCATCAGTGCCCGGGATACTAATCCCGACACTATCCTCAAGACTCAACTTCTTTATATGAAACTTCATTTTATGTAATGAATATAATTATGAGAAAACTGTTATAGAAATAAAAGAATTTATTCTACAGATTATCTATATATGGGTTGAGACACTATTGAATCCATAATGAATTTGGAAATTAAAGCTATTTTTCAAATCATATCTTAATAGAAACTTTAAGTTCATGAGATAGAGTGTGCCGGGACTTTAGTCGTCGATATCAATATTTATCGATACAATCGATTCCTAGAATTGTGATATAATTTTGTAATAATTAAGTACATTAATTATGTAATAATTATGTACTGAACTTATTTGAAAAGTATATTGTAAGCAATTAACAAATTTACAAGTTACAGTTTTTCACAAGTTTATATGATATACAGTTAATGAAGTTTGATTTTTAAAATTCATTTTAATTGTTACTTATTTATCATATTAAATAATTTTAATTTCTTGAAATGTCCGGTCTATACCCTTTTATTATGGACTAGTAATCCAATAAATGTATATAAATGTATATTCTGTACAGTAGAATATCTGTGTTGCTGTTGATGCTGTTTTATCTTTTATAAATTATAACAGATATGATATATTGACTATAAATACAATTCAGTTCTAATAATGGATAAGGGCATATTGGATACTAAACAATATAACTTATAGTGTAAAGATGATGTCAAGTTTTACATTTAGGCATATTTTATCTGATATTCTGCGATATAAAATGACATTTAAAGTTATACAACAAATGTTTGAGATATTATTTTCAATAGCAATTACATGAATGTACAATAATAGTAAAGCATTAGAATTAGGAAATTGATAGCAAATGCATATTCTTGCTTTATCTATTCAAATTTGTATTCATAACATAATTGTGTAATAATTAATTGAGAATCATTTATTTTATAATATGTTTTAGAAATTCATTGCAAAATAAAAATTATTAAAAATTGTACTAATAATTCAAAAAGTGCTATACAATTTGTACTTACTACAGTAGTATCTGTGAAAATATTTAATGAGTAGTACAGTGTGTAAAAGCGTAGGTTTTTAGTACCACTTATATACAGTTGAAGATCGTTGATGTCTTAATATAAGTGATGTTTTGATAAGAAATATATGAAGTGTAAGAATATAAGTATTTACATTCATGTGATTATCTAATCCGGGTTATGGGCACGATTTATCATACTATGCAATACTTAAACTTTCAATTCTGTAGATAATTGGCGCACAGGTTCTTAAGAACGGAATCAGAAATTAATGCTCAAATGGATTCACACGTTCACTGAATGCATGCAATTAATGGCATTTTAAATACAATACATTTCAAAATATAATCACCAATTCCTTAATTCAATAATTTTTGTGATAAAATATTTCAAAATAGCCCATAAGAGAACATTAAATATTTTAAGCTGTAGTTTTAGATGACTTACTGTATATTCTACTTACTAGGTGACAGAAATTCTATACTTGTAAATTAGGTATACAGTATTTGGAGCAAAAGGTTGAAAATTAGTTGCATAATAGTTCATACAAAAAGCTTACAGTTAAGAATCTTAACCTAGGACATGTGATGACAAATTCTTTAAGCATTGTTCTACTGTATAATTATTAAGTGCAAATTGGGAGGGCTGCTTAGACTTATAATTAGTTGTCATCGAACAGTAGGTTTCATATAAAATGCTTGACATGTGGTCATATTCTTGAACAATCGTTTAGTGCCAAGGTTCTCTGAATCTACTATTTATACCGTACACAGTAGAGCACATACTCTATTTTCTCAGTCAGAAATGAAACATTTATTTGTTCGCATAAATGTTAATACCAGTGAATTGACTGATGAGTTTGTGGTGAACAAGTGGTCCATTGGATCTACTAATCAAGTGAACGCCTGTTTCACACATCAATTATCAATACTCGTATAAAAATTACAATAAAATTTCAAATGAAAATATTTTAATAAATATTTGGTGCATATAAATATAAATTAATGTTAAATTAAAAGTTTTAGATATACTATGAATGGTTAACAAAAAATAGTCGTCTTTTTAGTACAAAAATCTAAACACAACTCTTCAACAGCTTCTCCTTATCTGCGCCGCCATTGACTGCAGTGGTGACCGACTCCTCGTGCGACCTCTTCATCTCCAACTGCTTGATACGGGTATAGGCGGCCGACCCCAACAGCACCAGTAGGTTAGAGAACCACCACATGAGTGACTTGTGTTCGTCGTACCAGACGGTGGCCAACACTGTCTGCGCGCACGCCTTAGCCGTACCGGAGATGTTGTGCGTGAGAGGAGAGGTGACTTTGATCTGAAGGCCGGTCACGTATCCGATGGCAAAGCCGAAGACACCGCTGAGAATCATAAGATTCCAGAAGTGGACGTCCCATAGCTTGGGGAAAGACAACACTTCGGGCACTTCACCGGTGATGATCATGAGTGGTATGAAGAGAGCGATGGCATTGAGATTGTTATAGAAAGTCAATAACCAAATGCTGTGACCGACGGCCGGCAAGACGTCTTTGGTGTAAATGCTGTTCAATGAGACGAACAGTGAGGCCAACACTCCGAAGGCCACCCCCGCCACCGACAGCGAGCCGCCGACGCTCTCCTGATCGACGCCCAGGAAGAAGCCGAAGATTATGGTGAGACAGCAGGTGATGGCCGGGACGGACGTGCTTTGCTTGAGTATGCAATAGGTTAGCAACACATTGAATACAGTGGTGAGGGAACGGCCCACGAAATAGAAGGCCACCCCAACGTACTTCAGACACAAGTTGTTGAATGTGATCATCGAGACAAACATCACCGACAGTGGAAGCACTGCCCGTACGACAGACCACTGAACAGACAGCTCGGGCACTGAGAAGAGCCGCGGACTGACTCGCGATAGCAAAGACATGACTAGTGTTATGAGGAGTGCGATCACGCACTGGAAGAATGTCACGAATAGGGGCGCATTGAGTCCAATGTCTTGAGAGGACAGCAGGTGTTTGTTGAGGAATACCATGGATATCGATATAAACCAATACATGGCCACCACTGTCACCACTTCCACGTATTTGTTGAGTAAAGATTTGTCAACCATTTTGTCGGCCGTTTGCGTGTGTCTTGTCTGCTGTCACCACCTAATTGTCACCAATTGGTTCCCACAAACTCTTAAGCAAAGGAACTGTTTGCTAACCAAATGATGAGTACAAACGTCAAGCGATTAGTGAATGAGAAGTCATTTAAGTGTTTATGTGTTGAGAGACGTGTGAATGGATTGAAACAAATGCCAAATGTTTACAAACAGACAACAAATGCTATAAAACACCGAAAATGAGTTAAAAACTGTTTGAATGACACTTTGGTTGCCTCACAGTTGTGTCAATATTCGTCTCTATGATCGCACATATGATTTATGTACACATATTGCGTAATGCATTAGAGGCAGAATAAACAAGGTCTATGCATACAGTCATAATTACCCCCTTATAAAAGGGGCTATAATTTGGTGTAAACTGTTATGACATATTTGTGCATCGATTTCGTCATAAATGATTAATGATATCATATAATTATAAAACGTTACAAACATAAGGGGAGGGGTTTTCTTTATTTTACATTAACTGCCATTGATTTACATTACTTATAGAACCTAAGGGTATGTAATGAATACAATAAACATAACGCTGTATGCGATGAGTGAATGCAATTGAAAGCTGTTTTGAACGATAAGAGTGTTTACAAAACAGATGCAAACGATTGTCATATGAAGACAACTGTGAGGTAAGGAAGTAGTGGTGATCTGCAGACACGACACCACACCAGAGACAATGTCTGTCTGCGAGAACGTTCACGCAGTCGTCACATCCCGCAAGAGGACGGCCATCGATGACCACAAACTCATTAACCAGACCTCCGATGAAGACGACGACATCGATGTGATCGAGAAGTGTCTGACGGCCTCGAGTACAGCCATTGCCGCACACGATGACAGTCACCTTAGGATCCACTCGTCGGACACGTCGTCGAGCGTACGGCCGTTGGATTCATTGGTCGGTTCGGAACCGTTGGCCACAAGAAGTCGCGATCGGTTGCGACGGCGACTGAAGTACTTCTTTATGTCCCCAATCGACAAGTGGAGGGCAAAGGGACGGCTGCCCTATAAACTGGGTCTTCAGGTCATCAAAATAGTGTTCGTAACCATTCAACTCATACTCTTCGGCTCAGATATGTCTGATTACATGACACTCGAGGCTAATATGGTATTAGAGATATACGATGAATGTCTTGTAATTATCTCATGTGTTAACCCATTGTCTCACTTCTGATCCAAAGGCCACATCTCTGCGCAAACTATTTCTGCCAAACTATGATACGCTGCGGGAAGTGATGACATACCCGCCCGCGGCCGGTCCCTACGCTCTCTATGAGCGTCAGGATCTGTTCGACGCCATCGATTACGCCATCCATAGGTTCGCCAACATATCTGACGTGAGTGTCGGCTCCTTTGGCTACCAAACGGCCAACACTTCAGTGCAACCCATGTCTGTGCTCGACGTGTGCGTCAAGTATTACGCGAAGGCATCCCTTCGGCCCTCCGATTACTACTATTTCATCGACAATAAGATCAAACGGAAGTGCTTTGCGGTCAACAATACCCACAATCCGGGCGATGAGGCGTGGAATCAGTTTAAGATCGACGACTATCTTAAGGCTGAGGGCTTTGAGATGAAGAAGAAATTCGATGGTTTAGTGTCGGTGTCTGTGGGCATACCGTTGCGCACGATATACCTGAACAGTCTGTCCACATATGACGCGCCCGAGTGCTACAATCTGGACGTCAGTATACTGTTCGACAACAGCCAACACTCGGGACAGATGTTGATGTCATTGACGTCCACTAATAGGCGCCACGAATGCGACGGTAATCTCAAGGATCACGAGGAACAGACACATATTGAGCGACAGGTGCTCAACGTCGGGGTCATTCTGTTGTGCGTTTTGTCCGGCTTTCTGTGCCTGCGATCTATAATTCGCGGACAAAAACTGAAGTCAAAAACAGTTTTCTTTTTCCGCAAACACTTCGGTAAAGATCTGTCGTTTGAAGGTATGTATAGTTCTCTCTCTCTCTCTCTCTCTCTCTCTCTCTCACTTACTCACTCACTCACTCATCCACCCTCACAGACAGGCGACAGTTCCTCGACGGATGTCTCTCTCTCTCTCTCTGTCTGTCTCTCACTCACTCACTCACCCACCCTCACAGACAGGCGACAGTTCCTCGACGGATGGATTCTCATGATTATATTGAATGACATACTTATCATCAGCGGTTCCATCGAGAAGATCAATATGGAGACCAATTCACTCCATGGCTCGCATTATAACTACTGTTCCCTTATGCTAGGAGTGGGCAATCTGTTGGTCTGGTGCGGACTCCTGAGATATTTGGGATTTTTCCACAAATACAATGTCCTGATCGTCACTCTGAAGCACGCGTTGCCTCACGTCTTGAGGTTCTTGTTGTGCGCTTTGATTCTCTACAGGTTTGTCGCACAAGAGCTCATGACATGACTTTAATTGTCTAATGTATATGTGATTTGTTGCACCATTTAGTGGCTTCTGTTTCTGTGGTTGGGTAGTGTTGGGTCCCTATCACTTCAAGTTCAGGACCATTTCACGCACCTCTGAGTGTTTGGTAAGTCCTATCATATCAACCAAACCATTGCTAGTCTTACAGTGAGTAATGAATGTTTGATTTAGTTTGCACTTATGAATGGGGACGACCTGTTCGCCACGTTTGCCATAACCAACACTAAGTCAGCCCTTATTTGGTGGTTCAGTCGGATATATTTATACGGATTTATCATTTTATTCATTTATGTCGTGTTGAGTCTATTCATAGCCATTATAATGGACTCATACGAGACAATCAAAGACTACTATCAGAATGGCTTTCCATTGACTGATATGCAGAAGTTTATCGCTGAGTGTGAGGACAGTCTCGCCAGTTATCTGGAAGAGCAGAGACACAGACCTACTCTATGGCAGTCATGTGTCAGATATTGGGATAGTTTGAAGTCTTTTGTGTCTTCACTGACTCGTAGGAGAAGACAATAAATACTTTATTTTTATGATTTGTATTATACTTAACTTAAACTCTTTCAATAGATTCTCTTACTTTATAGTTCATAGTTTATCACAAAATAGGACTAAACATTTGAAACTTAATTTATTTACTGATTTAAGTTTAAGGTTTTGCAGTTATTTTAAAATTTATTACAACTTTAATCATTTCTAATCAAATACCAAATGAGATCCACAATTGTATAAAATATAAAAATATTTTTATTAATAGCAATTGATTATTATATTTACATAAATATTTCATTAAATAAATTTATTAAAAATATTTTCATACAAATTCATTGATTATTTAAAATTTAAGTTAATTTTTTGGATGACATTAAAAATATACTTAATTCTCGACTATTGAAATATAAAATGCGATAAAAGGTGTTTAGAATCGACTGTAAGGGTTATTATTGGATCCGATACCATACTTGTCCCGCAACTCTTGGCGTCTCTGTTCCCGTTCCTGTCGTCGCTCCTCGTGTTTGGCCTTCATATCCATCCGTTTCTGATCCCATCTATCGATTTGTCGTCTGAGTTGAGCGGATCTGCACTTTTTGCAGAGACAACAGCAGCAGATGACGGATATGACAACCACTGAGACGCCCACTGATGTCAAGACAATGATCAGTGTCTTGAAGCTCACTAAACATGTCTTCCACGCCATGTCCTTAGGACTGTCTCCGCACTCTTTGTATGGCTTGAGTGTGTCGTACGGGTAGTGATCGCATGATTTGCTGCGAAAACAGTAATAACAGGCAGTATTGGACACACAATCGCCGCACGAGTCGTTGTGTTTCCGGCACTCAATCTTCGGGTCCGGAGTTGTGGTACTGACAGGACTGGTAGTTGTCTCGCCGTATGAGCACATAATGGCTGACAGCCATATGACTACCATTACAATTAAGACATGATTCATAGACAATGATTTGGAACTCATATTTCCAATGATTCCCAATTCACTGATACTTTAAGTATAAGTTTAATTTAACTTTAAGTTATAATTTATGAAATTGTATAATAAAATAATAACCGTATGTAAAATACAACGCGTTTAAGTAATTAATTAATAAAATTGTAAAATTTTCATTATAATTAATCTCTCATTATCTTTATTATCGTATTATATCCATAGAGACGCCCTTTCCTACGACTTTCCACTGCAATCCTATTTTGTAATAAATATTTTTCGCTAAATAATTGTGTGACGAAACAATGTTATCATAATTAATGTGTTTTGTTAGCAAACAATATGTGAAACATTCGTAACAAAGAATATTCTATGCAATCGACTCACAGGACTATAAATTGAATCTTTGTATGGCTTGAGTGTGTCGTACGGGTAGTGATCGCATGATTTGCTGCGAAAACAGTAATAACAGGCAGTATTGGACACACAATCGCCGCACGAGTCGTTGTGTTTCCGGCACTCAATCTTCGGATCCGGAGTTGTGGTACTGACAGGACTGGTAGTTGTCTCGCCGTATGAGCCCATAATGGCTGACAGCCATATGACTACCATTACAATCAAGACATGATTCATAGACAATGATTTGGAACTCATTTTTCCAATGATTCCCAATTCACTGATACTTTAAGTATTAAGTAATTTATGAAATTTTATAATAAAATAATAACCGTATGTAAAATACAACGCGAATTAAGTCATTAATTAATAAAATTGTAAAATTTTCATTATAATTAATCTCTCATTATCTTTATTATCGTATTATATCCATAGAGACGCCCTTTCCTACGACTTTCCACTGCAATCCTATTTTGTAATAAATACTTTTCGCTAAATAATTGTGTGACGAAACAATGTTATCATAATTAATGTGTTTTGTTAGCAAACAATATGTGAAACATTCGTAACAAAGAATATTCTATGCATTCAATCCAATCACAGGACTATAAATTGAATTTTTCGCTAAATAATTGTGTGACGAAACAATGTTATCATAATTAATGTGTTTTGTTAGCAAACAATATGTGAAACATTCGTAACAAAGAATATTCTATGCAATCCAATCACAGGACTATAAATTCAATGACAAAACTTTTTGAAACTTCAGACACTTATAATTTATAAGTTATAAATAATACATGTACTGTACAATACCGGTATTATAGTAATATAGTAATACAGTAATACACACTCTATTTTTACAGACAACCTAGAGACAGACAGATTAGTCAATAATTAATTAGCAGTAAAACATTTAATTTACGCTAATGGCATCAAATTTAAAAACATTATTGAATCGAATAGTTTTATTTGATTTAAACAAACCGTAAAACTTATCATAGATTGACATAAAAAGATTTAATTCAGTATTTTTAAAAAAGCAAATTTCAATCAATTTTGAAGAGAAAACTCCATTAAATCCATTTCGAGGTATGGTTTGATTGGCGATGAATTGATAAACAGAAACCAAATGAATACAATTAGAGACTTAGAGAGAAATAGTGAGTGAATTTAAATGTAAAATAATAAACATATTTTATTTTCTATTAAATTTAATTTTTTACTAACAAAGGTAACAAATACTGCACCTGAGGTTGAGCCGACGGCCACAGAGGCCAAGGAGCAGCAATATATATAAAAGCCGGATAAGTTCACAAAACAAATAAATAAAACATATTTAGAGTAACAGTTGTAATGATTAAGTGAATGAATTATGCATTAAAAAGATTTGCAATTATTTTAAACCATTAATTTACTATTAATACCGTACTGTATAGTGTACTGTACGGGTATTTACACACATAAATCACACTACTGTACCGTATTTGTGAGCACTTTATAAAATAACTAAAACCCATTTACTATCAAACATATAAAATAAATTTAAAACACTAAAACCTAAGTCTAGTCTACGATTGATTGAATAGAGGACAGGTAGGGGAGAGTACATACCATTTGCCAGACTTGCATAATGTTGTCCTCAGACACTGAGCAGATAATCCACGGCTCGTTGGGATTCCAGGAGAAGTCGGAAATCTTAGCGGTGTGTCCGCCGTGAATGAACAGCAGTTCGGGCGGTCCGTCCTCCGCGTCCTCAGCGGACTGTTCCTCTCCAA